GATTCTTCCCAACTTTCCACGTAGTTTCCTGCTAGAGACATGATTCAGGGTAGAGCTCAAATAGACCCAAACCCTCCATCATAACATGCAGTTGGGGAAATGAAGCGTTCCTTGTATTTGACTGATTTCAGTAGGCATCCTACAAAACTCAAATCAGGCTAGAGATATGGCTGAGACTTGAATTTCCAATTTCCTGTCCTGAACTGAAAAATACCATATAATCAAAGACTATAAAGAACAATTCCTCCATTCTCGATGCTAGTTATTGAACTGAAGTATAATGTAGTCTTTCCTTCTCTAACTGTATAAAGTGAAATTTGAAAGCTTGGCCAACTACAGCTTTTCCCTAAATTATGGTTTAAGAATAATGCTATCAAATTCCAGAGCTGTTTCATTTCTTCTTCATTTTTATTATTATTATTTTGATTTGGTTTAAGATTCTACTATGGTCCATTCTTTTGGAAAGAATTGATGTTGGTTTATTACATAATAATAATTTTTAAAAGAATATTAAACAATTCTGGGTTGGGTTTCCAGGGTGTTCCCCAACGCTGAGTCTCAATTGTGTCTCTTTAACATGATTTAAAGGTCTCCCGGAATGCCTGTTGAAATCATTCATACGCAGGGAAAATTCCATTTCCTAAACAGAAAAGGTTTGTTCGGTGTGAACCCTACCCTAAATTTCGTGTCGAATGTGTACAAGGCAACCACAGAGGCCCTGGGAAGGCACTCCAGATCGTCAGGTAAAGGATTTCTTACTTGCAGAGTGAGAATGGACCCTTTAAAAAACAGAGACAGGGCCGGGTGCGGTGGCTCACGCCTGTAATCTCAGCACTTTGGGAGGCCAAGGCGGGCGGATCACAAGGTCAGGAGTTCAAGACAAGCCTGGCCAATATGCTGAACCCCGTCTCTACTAAAAATACCAAAAAATTAGCCGGCTATGGTGGCACACGCCTCTAATCCCAGCTACTCAGGAGGCTGAGGCAGGAGAATTGCTTGAACCCATGAGGCAGAGGTTGCAGTGAGCGGAGGTTGCAGTGAGCCGAGATCACGCCACTGCATCCAGCCTGGGCAACAGAGTGAGACTCTGTCTCAAAAAAGAAAAAAAAAGAGAGAAAAAGTTGTTTCCTAATAGAGATAAGATTTGGGGGTAGAGCAAAATCCTAATACAAAGCGTTTATTTCAGGCAGCAGAATAACATTGAAGAAATACTTTTAATCTCAGGCTATTTCTGCAGATTTGGAACAAAATCTTTCCCTGTAATTGCTCTCCCACTCCACCCACCCCTTGGACATGGCAATTCTACTCTAAGAGAGAAAAACATGACTTCAAAGCACATGCAATGGAACCTCTTGTCAGCACTGATACGGTGTGTACCAAGAAACAGAAAAGTTCATGGGTTCAAGCATTCTAATGCTCTTTTTATGGTGGGGGTGAAGAATGGGGGTGGGTGGCAATTTAGGGAAGAAGGGGAGGGAGAAGAAAGGGCAGCAGACACAGCAAAGTCAAACTGGATGAAACACGCTGTTTTACTTTTAACTTCTCTAAAAGTACAGTCTGGGTTTCTGGGGGCGAACCAGTTAAGAGTTTTCTTCCGCTTTTACTTCCTGCCTATGCTCAAGCCTCCCTGGTCAGTTCTTGGACTCATCTGGGCCCTAATTTCGTCACTTTAAGTAAATGTGGGGTTGGCTGAGGAGGACAAGACCTCTTGTTCACTCCTGAAAGAGTCAGTGGTCATTATATAGGTATTACGTTCCTAACCTTACAAAGCGTGCCCCTGGTCACATGAATGGATCAAAGCAAATCCATTTCCATTATCAGAAAAGCAGCTCAAAGCACGTGTTCTCTTGATAGTGCCACAGTCACTTCTGTATGGTTAACAAATACCATTTATTGAACACTCACCCTGGACACTACTGCGGGATATGACAATGAATAAACTGCTCAATGAGGTCAAGACATCTAGCAAGGGAAGCAGGCACTCAAATGGCAGAAACACTGTAAGCCTGCAGAACTGGACTCCCACCTTACCATTCCGTTCTCTGTTATGTTTGCCATCCCCACCTCAGGTGCTGGTGGTGTGTGCAGCAGAGGCTCTGGCTTATGGTTTGGTAGTTTGGTATCTGGAAATGATTAAAACATCTTTTAAAATAAAAACGTCACTTTTCTCCTCCTTTGCTTCCCTTCCTCAACCATTTAAACTCACAGCTTTACAGAAAGAAATGAAGACCGCGCACTGTGTTACCAAGGTTAAGTCCAGTTCGATATAATGAAAGGTAAAGCATTACACTGAGTCAGAAAACTTGTATTCAAAAGTCGCTACAGGGAAAGAAAGAATCCAGTCACCTCAGATTATAGAACTTGGCCTATGATAATTATAATTGCTGTTTTCTAAACATTTAGGATGCACCAGGGACTACTCAATCTCTTCTGCATGTACTATCACAATTAATCCTTTTATAAGGTAACAATTATTACCCCTCTTTTATTATAGACAAAAAAACAGGCTTCATGTGGCTAGTGATTTGGTATGAAGGGAAAGCCCGGATTTGAACCTAGGTTTGCCTGACCTGCAGCCGTGCCTGTAGCCACCACAATGGAATGCTTCAAGGGGCAGCACTGAAATTTAACGAGGAATTTGTAAGGCAACCTACACAATCCAAAATGTCACCAGTCTGAAACATCCCCAAAACCCCTGTTTGAGATGAAAGCTGCATCTGTCATTTAAAAGTACTACAGTGTTATACACTCTTAAAGGAAAGGGTGTTGACCAAAGAAGCCAAGTTATGTGTATGTGGTCGCAGGCAACATTTCTTTTCCATATTTGCGGTACAAAACAACCAGAAGAACAAACTTCTTCCCTTCCTCTTCCAAAGGCACTGGAAACATAAATTCTTGCTCTTTAAACTGAAAGAAGCAATAAAAGCTGGACACCATCAGGTAGATTTCAGGCACTAAAAACAAAATGATCGAGTAACAGTACGGATAGCAATATCTACCTACCTACCTATCTACCTATGTTGTGTCTCTAGGTACACATATAATTATTGTGCATCTGCTGACAAACATCCATTTCAAGATTGTGTTCACATACACATTTTCCCAACCATCACGGCAAGCTGAGAGGAGAGGTATGTATTCCCATTTTCCAGATTAACAAGAAGCCGCACTTGATAAAGCAGAACCAGGGAGAATTCGTTTAAGACATTTCTTGACAATTCCTGGACTTCGAAAGGGGCAAGTGAACACCTCGATTTCCTTTCGGCTGCTCAGGGGGCAGTTTGCACACAGAATTTCAAATCTAGTAGGCGGTTCCACAGATCGTTTTCGATGACCACTTTATTTTGCAGATGAGGAAACTTGGGCCCTGAGAGACCTGCCTAGGGTCTGGCCAGCGGTATGACACAGGTCTCCAGACTTAGTTTCTACCGCCCTCCAGAATCCTCTGTGAAATTAGAGACACAGCACGTTGATTTCAAATGTGAAATGGCAGAGTTCTGTTTATTTCCCCAGAGCCAACAGAGCCGGAGCGGGCGGCTCTTCCAGGCTTTGGGAACCCGGACCCGTCCCCAGGCCCAATCGGCACCCACGCTAGCCCAGGCCCGCCCAAGGTTCCCCC